GAGCACACAGGGTAATGGTGTGCTTGCAGCACTTGGCTGAGATGAGGAAATAATAAGCAACACAAATACTAGCTTGATAAACAACACACAGATGTTGTTTAACAACACCAATTTATAACTGTACAATTATGGCAATATTAATAATTGATATGTGTCCTTTTCTTTTTACTGTAAAAGTATCAAAGCTCTCTAAACAGCCTACAATTAAATCACAATTTTTTGCAAGACTCAAACACATCACAGTAAAAACAAACAAAAGCTACTAATTTGTGGGAATTTTTGAAATCTACACTGCAGCACAAAACAATTCCTAATTAAAGACATTTATCTAAACAGTGAGCGTCTTATCACTTACAAAGACAACAGTATTTACATCCTAAACCACACTGTGACACTGAAATAAACATAAACACTGCTACAATGAAAAGCAAAAATTATAAATACAGGTCAGTGTTTTCTACCAAGTAAATCAAAAAGTATTTCTGTCATGCATTTTTTGTCCCCAGGTGATGCTGTGGTAAATTCTCTCAGCTTTTTGTCGGCAGGATCTACAGCATATTATTGACACAAGGTCATTTAATATGTTCAGAGGATTATTATAAACCTTCTTTAGACCTTGGATACTTTTTTTTCTGTCCAATAGCTGTAAGGAGATACTTTCCAAGTGACCTCAGACTTTTGCACAGTACTGTAAATTACAAGGTAGACGATCCCATAACAACCAGTTTAGCTGTTGAGGTTTCCTCCTTTACTGTCACTCCACGAGGCTCCTCAGAGTCACAGCAACAGGCCTATAGCTTGCCATGCACAGGCAGATCATTTAACACCAAATGCACAGGTGATGAGTTGAAATCACGTCAGTGTTACTTCTACTCCTGACGTATTCTACTGTATCTACTCACTTCCCGCGAACAAATTCTACTCTATGTGAGCTATATTGGTGCTTGACTGAAACCTAAAATACAAGCTTCATTCTGAAAAATTGTTTATGTGCAATAGCTTTCAGTTCTTCACAATAATGTAGAACTACTTCGTGACAGGACAGGGTTTATGTAAATCATGTCATTAGTGTGAAGTACTTCTTAATTTCCTACCCTGACACTACAACCCATTTTTGTTTTTTAGGCCACTTACAAGACACCCTTAGGAACATTTTGTCACGCAGAGCTGTGCAAAACAACCAAAAACAGGGGCACAGAGTGTTACATAAGATATATTATGTGTGTGACCTTGAATAATGGCGTCAAGCATGCTTAGAAACAAGAGCAGGAAGGAGAGATGATAGACAGGCAGAAATAGGCATGGGCCATGAGAAATGATACAAGGAGCAAAATTACACAGAATCTTACATAAACATATTGACTTTAGCTACAGAGGGAAGTTCAACCTATATTCTTGCAGTATTTCTGCCTTAGTTAGGAACATTTTATGATTATTAACTGTGGTAAATTAAATGGTGATGTGCTATTAGTCTGTGCACATCAATTGTAAACACCTATCAGCAACGCTCAAGTTCATAAGATAGAAGTTATTTCAAACAGCTGACTGACTGCATTAGTGTGTCTGATTCATGTCGTACTTTACTAATGATTCCATTTTGTCCCTGTAGGCAAATTCTCTTTTCACTTCACTCAACAGAGAGGTCAGGGTCAGCTGCAAGACAGCAGCCCCCAGGGCTGGTGGGTATTTAACCACTAGCTGAAACCCGGATCGTATGATTTGCTGTATCACCCACCTGACAGGCAGCGTGCGGTCTCCTTTGCGGCGGTCCATCTCTCTCTGGGGAACAGGGTACCAGCGAAAGTTGAGCTTCCAGTTGAAGCCCCCGTACGTCATGTCAGATCCCGCCATGTACTCGAAGGTGTCATCGCTGATCACGTCGATGATGGGGCATACCACTGTTCTCCTATAGAAAATAGAAACGCAACACATCAACACACAAACGCACACACAAACACACACACATTGATCAGCCTGCTGTTCATAACCTTGGGTGGTCATCAATCACGAAGTGCTCATCTGCAAGGTGTGGCATCTCCAGAACCAAATGCATTTAAACAATGGACCATGCTGTGACTTCCCATCAGCCATCACTCATCACACCTTCTAAATCCCATTTTGTTTTGTGTGTGTGTGTGTTGGCGTGTTTATGTGAGTACCTGCTTGCGGGAAGCAGTTAAGAAAGAATGAGTAATTAAGCATCAAATAAACACAAGGGCAAGCCCCCGCAGGCTCAACAATAGTTTATTGATTTTTTTTTTTTTATGCTTGCCGTTGGAGTGTGTGTCTTTTGTGTATGTGCGCGCCTTACTTGTCTTGTTTGATACGGGCGAGCAGAGGCTCTAGCCACCCCGTTGTGCATTCACAATGAGCATCCAGAAAGGTTATGACCTAGAAACACGGAGAGAACACATTAGACAAACCTGACAGTGCACACACCATATGGAGTGCAGGTCACTGGGTGGTGGGCATCACGTATGTGCATACACACACACACACACACACACACACACACACCTGTCCAGTGGAGAGGGATGCTCCCTTGAGGCGAGCACGAATGAGTCCAGACCGCTGCTCCATCCTCACCACTCTGACAGGGACTTCCAGCCTTCTGACATACTGCTCCAATGGCCGCTTAAGGAAATCTTAAACGTACAAACACATAGAAAAAACTTCAATAAACACACATAAGCCAACACAGACGGACAGACACACACCCATACACACAGAAGTTGGACTACGTGCTACTCATCCAAACTACTGTTTCTGCAGCCACAGAGACCAAAAGGTTAAGTATGTGCTTGTGTTTTTTTTTGCTTGTGTGAATGTGCCTTAGCATGCCTACCGACACCCCTTCTACCTGCAGAGAGCCCCTCCTCCCCCTCCCCAACACACACGCCCTCTGACTTGCACTATCCAACCTGAGGTCCCATAGGGTGAAATGGTGCTGTGTGGTGGCGGCTGGGGGGGGGGGGATTGGGTAATAAACAAAGTGTAATCCCTGCGGCTTGGCGAATTAAAGACCTAATTCTCCCCCAAACAGGGATTAGCAGCATTGCACAGGGTGGAGTGGCACACACATAGAGCCTATATATGCTGACTGGCTGTTGCGCAACAGCACAGACACACTCTCTCACCACACACACGCACACACACACACAAACCCAGCAAAATCATACAGTAGCTCTAAAAAAATAGGCTAAGCCTCAAACAAGCGGCACAAGCACTGAAGGAATTATCTGCAGTGTTTGCGTGTGTGTGTGTATACCTCGCTCGCTGGCATCGTCCACCAGGACAATCTCCTCCAGCAATGTATGTGGAGAGCGGTCGATGACGGAGTGGACGGTTCGCAGCAGTGTGCTCCACGCCTCATTATGAAATACAATCACCACGCTGGTACGAGGAAGATTATCTGGGTATAACTTGTTCTTGCACCTACAAAGAGGAAACAAGACATTCAAATACAATTGTTAAAGATGCTTTTGATATGGAATGCAAAGCAAATTTCAAATCATTCAAACACTGCACAGACAACACACTGTCAAAATCACACGGCACAACAGCAGAAAGTTTGTGAACTGCATCAAAATCTCACACAGACACGGTTTCACAACGTCAACCGCATGTGCGATAAGTGAAGTTGTAGGCTTTTAACACAGGCAAAACTGAACTGACAGAGACAGAGCGAGAGAAGAGAAAAACATTCTAGTAGAGACATCACAATCCAGCTTCTGTCTGATTGTAAGAGACTGTTACAGGCAGACAGAGCTGCAGCTAAAGAAACTCTACACAAGGAGGAGATGAACAAGAGGGAAATGGCTGGGACTTCAACATCAACTAAACTGTATTAGTCAGTCACGGAGTCACTGCATTAATCAGATAATCATTTATGGCCTCGTGAAAAATCATATTGAATTACTTGTTTGAACTACTGAATTCAAACAAAGAAAACTGAGTGAATAATGAGCGAGCAACCAAGCGTATGTCCCTAAATTTAGACGGAAAAAGACAGACACACAGAATTAGCAGGTCAGCATGATGACAGTTGATTAGTGATGCTAATTAGAGTGTGAGTCATTATCATAGCAGTGTACAGCACACACATCAAACTCTCTTATTGAGACACAGAGAAGAGCAGGCATGAGTGGAGATGGATATTAGTGAAGTGAAGACTGTCACAGGCTTATTTATATATTCCCTGAGAAATTATCCTACTGGTGGGTTTGCTTTGTAGCCTGGCATTGCCAGACTAATTCGCAAATGCCAGAGCAAATGAAACATCATTAGCTCTGCAGATTTGTCTGGTTCCCAGGCTATTTGCTTTGTTTAGGTCATTAAGTACAAAGTTTGTGTAATTTAAATTACACCTGAGCACTTTCAAAAGCACAGATAATAGTTTTAAGGTTCATTTTCTGCCTTCCAGGCAGCCATTGATTAAGGTTTATTTGATTTTAGTATAAAAGTGCAGAAACCTCTTTGATGTTGCTAGTCCAACACAGTCAAGTTTATTTTTACCTTCATTATTTTAAAAAAAGCTAAATCTGCATCTGTATTTTATGATACTTAGCACTTTCATAATAAAAAAAAACACCATATCAGAAGACTGTATCTGTATTGCCCATCCTTTTGGGGTTGTAAGAAAGACAATCTTGTGTTCTTACTAAAGAGTAAGGGAGTTTTATTTCAGTGTTACAGTATCCAGACTACAGTAGATGCTGCACAGAATAACACACATCCACACACTACACTGCAAAATGTATGTACAAAAGACATCTCTAAATAACCACAAAGAAAGTAAATGTCCGTTTTGCTAAGGCTTTCCAGAAGTATATCACATTACATCTCATACATGTTTCATAACCATCTCACCAACCCAAATTAATAATTACATTTTCAGAAAAGCGTGCTCCAATCATTGAGAATAATACACATTTTACAGATGGATTGATCTGCACAACAGATGGCAGAAAATATGGACTCATCCAATTCCAAATTCATGTTCTACTCTCCAATTTAAATAAGAGATTAAGCTCACATCCGTTTAATTGGATAGGACAAGCTAGAGTCACAGAAGACAGAAGAAACACTGCCATGACACCTGTATGCCCGACATGAAACTGTCTCACAGTCTGTATCATCTATTGACGACAAAACTGAAACTAGCTTGTGATGTCCGTCCTCTGATAGATAGATAAATTCAACCCTCACAACAGCCAAATGGAATATGATATCTCTTCCTCCAACTTCATAACTCCCTCCCATCCTTGTGATCATCCAGAGCGCTGGAATGCTTCCTCTCTCTCTGCTGCTGATTCTGACAGAAGGAATGTAACAGCAAGAGACGAGGTGAGGTCAAGAACATACTCCATCCTGCAGTTGCCTCTCGAGCATGTTAAATAACACACACACACCACACACACACACCACACCACACACACACACACACACACACACACACACACACACACCACACACCACACACACACACACACACAGTGATTCTCAGTCTGCGGTGTGTATACTCTCTGCAAGCAAGGGAAGTTGATGAGCACACAAGATGATTCACTGTAAAAACAGAAACACCCTTGGATTCTTTCAACTTTTGTGCACATCAGTTCATTATTTCTCTCGCCTCTGTTTCACAAACAGAGCAACTGAGACTTTTCAGTCTCAGACGTGATCTTTAATGAGCAGCTGATGGAAAAACAAGACCTCTGTGCGTTTACCAAACCAACATGTGTTGACACACGAAGGCAGATGCATGTCTATGTGTCACATGACGTGGATTTGAAAAAAAACTGAGGCGTGGTTGTGAGCCCTGTGTATCCAAACAGTCAGGGTGCTGGAGCAACACTTGGCAACAGCAAAGCAGTGTAATGAGTTACAGGCTGCTTCTCCAGCCAGTGGATTGTGGGGATAGTTCGGATGGGCGGGCAGACTGGTTCTGATTAAACAGCATCATTCTTGCGTCATTAAACTCTCTCACACACACACACACATACATCTATGCATTCTCATAAAATGTTGCAGTCAGGATCTAAAAAAAAGAGAAAATGTCAGCTTTTCTGAAAGGTGTGGTCATGGAAAGTGTTTTCATATACTGTAGATCCACCCAACCACATGTGCACACACATACAAATAGGATTTAACACACATGCACACACACTTAACTGTAATGTCAGAATGACCTGTCCCTTTTTTTTTTTTTTTTTTTAACATTCAACACTGCACTGCTGAAAATACGTGAAATAAACCATCAGTGCACCTTTCCGCTTCAAAGTTTCAGCTAAGAAGGCGACCTGCTTGGTATGTGAATTCATTCCACAGAGTTTCCTTATACCTGACACACACACACAAATAAACACATTCGTACATGTGCATATACACACAGACACATTGCCTTGCTTGATATTGACTCTGTCTTATCTCCTAATTGGAAAAGCAGATAGACGGAGAGAAGGCTGAGTGAAAACACACCTAGTAATCAACTCCCGCTCAAAGACTAAAACCCATTTCACGGATCAATGTCCTCTTTCTTTCCTGCCTGTCTAGTGTGCATGTGCCCCTGCCTGTCAGTCTTGTGTCTGTCCTTCAGTCTTTCTGTCTATCTCTCTGAAAACCTTCATTACTGATCTATGCATGCTCCTCTACTGAAGCGCAGAAAAGGGCCGAAGGGGGATGGGAGGCCGAGCTGGTTTCCACCTGCTTGAACTAACCTTGACATATCTTCCAAGCTGCTGATGGGTGCCACTCCTGTCTGGCTGTTCTGAGGCCTCTCTCTCTCTCTTTCTGCCTGTCTGAAGACTGAACATCCTGCAGCCACTGCACTGACAGATCCTTAAGTAACACTAAACTCCTCATTGTAGAAAAGGGACTTGTGAAGTGCTCAACCTAGTATTACTGAAGCAAGACAAAAAAGGGGAAACAAAATCAGTGTCTTCTTTCTGAGCATTATCCTAAAGTTTCTTTGTGTTTGGGCTTGATTTTATTTACATTTTACTAGAGCTGTAAGACACTTCGATTAAGGCGTGGTACACCAGAGTTCAAAGTGCTGTTACCTCCAAGGTCTCATGAAATGGTATCATTACTTCCTTAATGTGATGTATTTCCTGTTGAAACAGCACAATGAGGTATCAATCTTTAGGCTGAGCCAATGGGCTATTGCTCATGGAGAGAAAACCAGTTTGATTTGATAGGACAGGCAGAAAGGCGGGATTGTTGAGAAATGATTTTATTGGTTGGACCTTTTAATCACCCCCTGGAGCTGCATGAGGTCATCACGTGAAGTCACTGGCTAACTGTGTCCCGATTCCAGAATCCCAGAGTAATTCTAAGCAGGTTTTAACAAAGATAAAATAAAGATATTTCAACAGTGATTGTGCATACTAAGGGCACGTTCACATCTGTAGTTTGGTTCATTTGATAGGGACTACAAGAAATAAGTTATACATTGCTGCATTTTATCTTTAGTCTGGTTCATGTTCACACCGGCTCAAAACCAAGATGACAGTTTTGGCCGCTGAGAGAGGCGTCTTGGGCAGCAATGTTCTGGAGGGGGTCACTGTTGAATTGCTATGTCACACTTTTTCAGGGACTTAATGAACTGTCAAAGTACACATAGGGCATGAGCATATCACACTGCAGTTTTAATGGCCTTTGACTGCCTGATTGATCATGCTCACACGCAGAAATGTTACAATGATTATCAAATGATTTACATACAGCACTTATACAGATTGCTTATTATAAGAAAGCTTCCTCCGCAGTCTCAGTCTGGTTGATTAATTCAATTAAAAGCTTTTACAGCAGACCAAATAAAGTTTGTTTTAAGTTTGTTTTAACTGTGGTGAAAGCACAAAAGCTGGTGATTTTTAAATGTTTTGAATGTTGGACTGTGCTGTCCCTACATGCACTGCACAAGGGACATCGAGGAGCTGCTCACAGTTGGAAAACATTCAAATAAATTGTTCAACACCCTTAAAAACCAAAAATCAACTAATAAATCTTTGGGAAACATTCTGCTGTCTATGTGTGTAACTGGGAGTAGTATTTCAAAATTGCAGCTCAACTGACATGCATTGTTACATGTATTGTATAATTTCCTGTTAAGTTTAAGACACAGTGATTGAAGACAGTTTTTAGAACATTTTGTGCACAATCAGTATATGCAGTTGGGACATACTGACTATTTTACAGGAAGTCAGTGCTCATGAATTCTTTCAGATCACCACAACTTGTCTAATTCACTGTTTTAATCTCTTCGTAAAGCATACTTCTATCACATAATGCTAAAACACAAGTATAATTAATGTTGTTGTTGAGGTTATACTCTCTACCCTGACTTATGGATCCATACATCTGTCTCCCTCTATGCCATTATTTATAACTAACCTTTACAGAACAGTGGCTCAGTGTGTGACTGATTGCGCAGGTTTCAGCCTAGACGTCTGGCTTGGGTTTTATAGTTGATCACCAGTGTGGACCATCCCAACAGTGGATGCCACTGACAGCCATTTTGAGGTGAACTTAATGAGTGGAGTAAGAGTAAGTGACAGGACAGATGATTAGCTGCAGGGAGGCTGCTCACCCTTCCAGGCGGACGTCAGGCAGAGACCGATTGAGAGCAATCATCTCAGAGGCCATGAGGTTGAACTGGTTGATCTTAAACATCTCCTTCATCTTCTCCTGGTTCTCCTTAGGGATCACCACAGGCTTCCCCCCTTCACCGGGCCCGTCCCGCGGCCTAGCCAGGGCATCTGTAGTAGATTCGCACACATATAACAGACTCAGAGGATGCTGACGGACACTCTGTGTCTGTGTCTCTGTGATCATATGTACTGTATGTGTTAGGCAACGCCCACTCACCGTCTCTCCCGGGCAATCCTCTCTCCTTTTTGTCGTCACACTTGTTGCACTCGCTGAAGTAGAGCAGAATGAACATGTCCAGCATCACCCACACCAGGGAGGTGGCCAAAACCACCTTACAGTAGGCGAACCTCCTCATCCTAAAAATGTAAAGAGAGGGAGAGAGGTAAGGGTGATGGTGAGTCCTGAGCTGTTACACACAATCACAGGCCAAAGCTCTGCAGAGGATATCGCTCTCCTTTTCTTCCCGTATCTCCCTGCCTTTCACTCCCCTAAGCCTCCACCCTTCCCACAGCTCTACGCCCGAGTATCTTCTCAATGCCTCCATTTGTCCTTCTGCCTGTCTGTCAGTCCGTCGTGTCTGTCTGACTCTCAGCCCTTATCTGTCGGCTGTTTATCAGCGCCTCTCCAAATGGTCACCTTCACACTCAGAGAGCCTCAAAAAGAGCACTGTGCACTGTTGGATTTCTGTCTTACATCACTCCAGTAGAAAAATAGTAAATCTATGAGGGCAGTTGTAAAAGCTTATCGGTTAGTTAGCGTCTGGCACCATTATAAGCCCAGTGAATATTGACATTTGTGTTTTACTGAGGATGTTTGATGGTATCTAAGCAATGCTTTAGCTGCTTTCAAGTTTCAAGTGGAAACAGACATCCACTGTATCAGAAACACCCTGCGGTGTACAAGCCAATCTACCCTTTATACATTTAACATACCAAACCCCTGTGTGCTAGAGTGCACACACACACACACACACACAGCAGAGAGTGAGGAGCTGTGATAGTAATTGCTTTTCTTTGGCAGGCAGGGAGACAGACACAGCCACATTAAAATTCCTCTGCTCCCCTTTCCTTCTCTCCTCCAGCACCATCTCTCCTCTCTTTGGCTGATTCTCTGCCTCAGTGATCCCTCAGGTTGCAGCAGCACAAGCAGAAGGGAGAAAATTAATTTGGCCACGGTGATTTCTCTCATACCCCTGGGAGGGAAAAAGGTGTTTGTGCATAGCTAGCTTAGCTTAGCTCAGTTTAGTTTAGCTTTGCTTAGCAGCCACGAAGGATGGAAAACTGCAGAGCAGCATTTCTAAATTCCACCTGATAGGATTCTGGAAGCACAAAGTGCCGTGCACAGCAGAAAACAAGAGCGGAGATCTGTCTATTCTGCCGAAGTTTGTCTTTTCTCAGACTTATGTGCCTGTGGAGACAAATAGTTTTAGTGACAACTTAGTTTTACCAGTTTAAAACTATGTACCATATGTATGTACGGTACTCTGCAGC